TATACTGAACAGAGTAATCGCTGATCACCCAATCCTTTTTTCCTTAGCACTAAATGCACCTATTTCCTCCAGAGACTACTGTTTACTCTTAGCTCGACCTCAAGTTTATTCACACTGTGCATACAAATCTTTCTCTCAGTCTGAACACATCAGATTTTTTACTCACAACTTCTCACGCACAAGTATTTCTCTCCTCAATGAATCTCTCAGACAGGCGTCTTTATGCTTTTCAACAACTTCTTTATTCACGTGTGTTCCCCTATTCACCCAAACATTCAATGCCATTTATGATCACTCATGCCCTGTTCGAAGCCTATTTGTGTCCAACGGAAGGATACACTTTCACCTCTACTAAAGTCGCTGTAACGCCAAAGGAACGTGCATACAAGTCTCACAATGCTTCAGTTGTCAGATATTTGTCCATGCCTTTCAAAGCTGAGGTAAACAGATTGTACGCATTCGTCTCCAATCCCATTCTGAAGTCTGGAAACAGCAAACATCTGTGGTAAAATATAAGAATTCTCCGAAAAAGGAAGAAAGTAAGGCCGAAGCTGGATGTGCATGTTGATAATCTCATTGCAGCACTCTTGGCCCAGTTACCGGATGTTCTTCCTGCATACTCGTTGCACAATTTTCGTAAAGTGGAACCATTCTCAAAGTATGATGTGTTAAAACATTTAAATAGTTTTAAGTAGTCTTCTGCTACAGGCCCGGATGATTTAGCCCCAGCCCTCCTGAATGTGGACAGGTCAATGCTGACCTGTCCGGCGGTGGCAGGATTTGACCACTCGTCTTCGAGGTGATAATTTGGTGACTTTACCACCAGGCCACCACCGTATTGTAGTTTAGCGGGAACCTCGGGAAATGCCAGGTTTCTTAGCAGCGAATACAGATCACGGCCGCCAGCAGTGAGAAATAGGGCCGATTGGTTTTGCACACTACCTTTTCGAATACTGCACCACATTTCGAATCGCTCTACCCATTCCTCGATCTCGGATGGACTGGCTTGCAGGTTCAATTGTTCAATACTTGTATACCCATTCCTCGATCTCGGATGGACTGGTTTGCAGGTTCAATTGTTCAATACTTGGAAGTCCTTGCGCGATGCCAATTTGCAATGTTTGTAGTAGCAGTAGCAGTAATACGCACGGAATTCTGAACACCAACCATGCAATAGGAATCACAGGACCCGAATCGATAATCGGCTATCACGACTGGATCGCAGAAGCAAAGTCCCACGAGAACGAGACGCGAGGAAAAGGCCAGAGGACAGGCAGTAAGTAATTCGTGTAATTAGGAGAAATAAAGGTGATTAAATAATATGTACAAAGGGAGATTATTGGCTACCTGGGCATCCACCAATTGGATTGCAGCACTGCTTGTATAATCTCGCTTCTGTCGGCATTGTCTTGGATTGACTGGCACCATCCGCCAATGACGTGTATTCGAATGCCACGCACGTGCTATTGACTTCAACATTCAAACTTGATCGATCACCAATGTCCTGAAACTGTAACGCGCCGCTCCAGCGTAGGTGCCATCGTGTAGGCCTGAATCACCACAAAGGCTATCCTCAAACGCCTTCACCAGTCTATAAACCTTACCGGGATCCTTTACAGTTTGCTTACGAGCCTAATAGATCCACCTTAGACGCAGTCTCCATCCTCATTCATGCTATCATTGATTCTTTACACAACTCGATTAAGTCTGTTCGGTGTTTTTTCTGGGCTTCTCTTTAGCATTTGTTTCCATTCATCGATCAAATTTGTTAAAAAACTGGAATCTCTTAAATGGCCCAGTTAAGTGTTAGCCTGGTTATCCAACTAATTTACTGATAGAGTATAAACCACTAGGTAGTTGAAGGCTCCATCGAAACCCTTACTCAACAACTCCAGGGTTCTTCAAGGGGCTGTACTATCCCCATACTTATTATCTACTTAAATATGTGATGTACCTTGTGGTTCTCCTGCACCTACTTTGAAATATGCAAATGACGTCGTGCTATGCTAACCCATTTCTTCTTACTCCCACTCCAAGGTCCTTCACCGAAAATCTGGATCAATTTCAGTCGTTTCCCTCCACATTGGGGCTAACCCTGAACCCCAGTAGATTGATAGATAGTTGAGTGTTTATATAATTTAGCTCGCTCTCCGTATCCGACAGACCCCACAGTGATAAATAAAAATCGTTTATCTAGGGTGAACTTTGCCAAATATCTGGTTTAACTGAGATAGCAATCTTCATTTGTCAACCCATATCCACAAGTGCATTGGTAAAGTGCACAGATCTTAACCAGTCACTGCACGCAGAATTGACGCGTTGTCGTTCCCATTCTTACCTACACTCCCAATTTCACCAAGTTTCAACTCGAATAAACGCCTACCAAAATTCACCTATACCCCCTATCTTGCATGTCTACTCACAAACAGAGGATATTAAGTGAACTTTGCCTTAATCTTGGATTATGAAATGTTCTCATGTCTGTAAAAAATTTCTCCTGTTGAATATGTTCTCTATGATGGTTGGCGTGTATGGTTTTCACCTGAAACGTGAGCTTCAGTGCTTCAGACATTTTACTCAATACAATACAATACAGTCAACGAGATGCAGAAAACAGACCACTTAAGTGGCTATTTGTTTCTTGAACTAAATAATACGTAAAAAGAAATGTCACTGGTTAAAAGGATCTCAACCAATTGCCTACTTGTGTTCTCTTTGCAATGAATCTTCTGTTTAGGCCACATGTTTTCTAGATTGATCAATACCACTGAACGGCGGCTCGATTTTCTGAATCTGTAACACGCGTTGCTTCCTGGTTGCGGTTATCTCGGAGGATTGAATCACTACATTCTACTGTGGTTAGTTGACATTTTCTTATGGGTTTTTAGCCTTCACCCATGGTTTATCAAGCTTAACTCAGTTTTGTACCTTCGACCAATCCTGGTCCGAATTGAACGAACAGGCGAAACGGAATGACTTGGTTTATCTATATGGAAATGATCGATGTTATCAGGATACAAAATTTATTCAATATGAGTTATTCGGTTACCAAGCGACTCAACAACAGGAGCAAGTAGGATCATTTCACACAGCATAATCAGTACAAGGAAATAATCGACATTGTATGTGTAAAGCTTGGCAGCCCAGCCCGTAATATTTTATCTTGAGTGCTTGCATCTCACTGTACCTTTTGGGTTCATGGTGTTTTATTGGCTTTGATCTTCAGGTCCGTCCTCAACCCTGACCCACGGAGGACGTGCCTGCCTGTGCTTCCTCGCCACTCCACCACCGTCGTTCATCGCCCGCAAAGCCTCGTGTCGTCTCCAGCTGCGAGAATACGAGCGAGGAGACGTGCATCTCTGTTCTTTGCGATGCGCTGCGAAAGCCCGGTTACCTTCCCATTACACATACACCGTGTCGAGAACAACAAGTGTTTTCGTTTCCTGTGAACGTTTGCAATCCGTTTGTGCACATGTATTGCTGTGGTGCAGCCGCAATCGTGCGCCGATCGTTTCTGGTCAACTGATTGCCGAAACGATTCGCGGGCGTGCGCTTTCATGGTTATTTCAGATCCCAATCAAGCATGTACCATTTTGGTTGTTCAAGTTTTTCTAAACATAAAATGGGATCTTTACTACTACATTACATTTATAGGATTAAAAATGCGCAAAAACCGTTAATCTACATTTTGATACCACTCATTTAGACATTCATTTGGCCGTATAAAACAATCTGTAACATGAAGACAAAAGTGTCTCTAAATCCGTTTTATTTACACATCAGAAGTGAAAGAGTAACGAACACTATCTTTCCTCGTTATGAATTCAAACATAGAGTATGAACTGAGATTTGCTTTCAGTGTGTAGCCATTGTGTCAGAGTGCTGTGCTTCTCGTATGTACCTATTGCAGTCGGGATGGCGTCAGACTCCAGTACCATTAACTGAACCAAAATCCGTGTGAAGCAGTGGTTGATGCAGAACCTGATTTTCACCCGTGCCTTTTCGTTTGTGACAATATCATTGTAGTTAACTAGTGTTGTGAAGCTTGGAGACGATGTGTGGTGATCCAGGGGTACGGGATGACGCGTACCCTGCAGCACCGCGTTACAGTTCTGGGACAACTGCGATCAAACAAACTTCACGCTTGATGTCGATAACGCACGTTCGTGTCACTGCTTCTGACTACATTCCACAGGTAGATCGTATCAGCCAATCAGAGACCATGCGGCCCAGAAAGAAGCAGAACGACGCAAGCAAAACTGGAACGTGATTGATAGAAGCCCAGGTGATCAATGAACTTACTTTGTACATATTATTTAATCCCCATTATTTCTTCCAATAAATGAACCACTACTTCTGAGGCCTTTTCCTCGCGTCTCAGTTACTTGGGATATTGTGTGCTAGGGCCAGTGCGGTCCAGTGCTCGCGCGATCCAGTCCGTGATTGCTTATCCTTGATTCGTATTCCGTAATCCGTATTGTGTGGTTTGTATTCCGAGTTCAGTGCGTACTACTACTACTATTACCATCATTACATGATGTTGGTTACCCAACTCGTCAAACGTGAATCTAGGTTCTCGCTCTTGCCACTGAGTCTACAATTAGTCAAGTGGATATAGAAACAGGGGGTTCATTACTATGATTGATTGGTGATTGATGATTGGTACTGTATTAACAGTACCAATCACAGAAGACAACTGAAAATAGAAACCGTACAATTTTATTCATTTTACAAGATGGTGCGGGATATGTAATACACCAACGTTTCGAATAAAGCATATCTATCATGATCGCTGATTGAGAAACCAATCCATCCAGTTGAGTTTGATTGTACACTACAATAAATCGTGATTTGTGTTCTGAAAACTGATTGGATATTTCTGTTCTGCTCTTCCGGACTCACACGGAAAATACACCAGATTCAGGCTTGGCATTACTTCAACGTCCATTTGTAACCGTTTGATCACTCACATGGTTATCTGATCGGTTTCGGGACCTCCTTTAGCGTGGTCTCATGATCCGAATCCGTGATTTCTCATCCCACGTCATCATTAATAAAGCGGTCTTTTTATTGGACATGGCCAATCGCACAACCGGTCCAACTTCAGTTTCATGATGCAAACAACCGTTCGGTTGAATTAAATCCCAGTAATAGACTGTGGAATTTCGACAGCCAGTGATGATCAATCGACCAGAATTGGAAACAGCTAAATCACATACTGCAGCCGTGTTTGCTCGATGCGACTCGTCTATCTGAATCTGTCCGACTGTTTCCGGATCCATTCCCACTCCGAGATATGGGTGAACGTATCTGGCAAGAGTAACATCGGTACGCATATCATACAAATGCATCGTTGTGTCTTCTGACCCCGA